TACAACTTTAAATAATTTACAGGATGTACGTTCAATTGAACTTTCATCATTTCTTTTTCAAAATTATAAAATACACTTTGATCATTAATGTAAAAAGAATAGATATTACATTTTCCTGTGTTACAATTTATTTCTAGGAGTTATCTTAACGATTTTGTAAAATATAACATATATGATATAACGCAAAATATCATTTAATGTAATCATTTAATTTAATGACAGTGATAAAATTTAAATTCTACAACAAAATATTTATTTTATTTTTTTATTTGCAATTTTATTTGAAGTTTATAGTTCCAGTTTTAATCATTAATAATGTAATCTTATTTTGCATTAGTAATATTGATAATTACTAAAAAGGTAAAGATATCTTAATATCCTCTCCTACAGGATAAAAAATATATTGAATGTTAAATCTATTTTATACTTCATCTATGATTATAATTTTACTTAACCATCCGTAGATAATATAGATAAATATTCCACTTTCGGTTGTCAGCATTAGTAATGTATATGTCAGATATCACTTTGCAATAAGTTTTCATATTCACATGTCGAAAAATAATTTCTTATAAGAATACCTATTAATAATAATAATAATCCAATCGCAATAAATTAACACGTTTAATTTGATTAGTATATTTCAAACAAAAACTAAAAAATATATACATATGTTAAGTGAAACTGTCATCTCAAAATTGTAAACAGAACGAGATTACAATATATGATTATTCGACACTTAAAATGTCTGTAACTGAAGAAAGAATTCAAGAATTAAATAGACGATTTTTAGAATTTATGAGTAAAAGTGAGAATGTGGAATCAGCAACCAAAGAAATTTATGATGATCTTCTTGATGAAGTATTAATGGGATTTGTTTTCGATGTACATCGAACTACAAAAACTGGTAGTTCAGATGTAGAAGAAGGTATACCTGATGACGAATCGTACGCTATTGTAGGTAAGTGAAATAATAAAAAGACATTAAAAATTTTAATAATTATAATTTCTTAAATCAGGTTATGTTTATTTATTAAATAAAATATTTCTATTATAAAAATTAATTATTATTTTTATATAATTTTTATTTAATTTAACATTTTTTTTGAAGATTCTCCAGGGTTGGATGTCTTTGGTCAACATCCTGTTAAAAAATCCCAGGAATGTAATTGTCCAAATTGTGATAGAGGAGTTGCTGCCTGTCGTTTTGCAACTCATTTAGAAAAATGTATGGGTATGGGACGAAATAGTTCGCGAATTGCATCAAGACGTATAGCAAATAATTCAAAAGATCTCAGTAATTTCAGTGGTGTTATAAGTGATGATGATGATGATGTTGATTGGAGTTTAAATAATGATAAGCGTAAACGCAGAAAAGACCGTAATGGTATTAAAAGAACAAAGCAACAAAAAAATAGCCAAAGAAATGGTGAAACTATAAATGAACATATTCATAGTAGTAATGAAAATTCCCCATCAAATTATGAAAATATGTCCTTGGAAGATAAAAGGATTCTATTGACTCAAATTTGTGGAGTAATATCGGAGCATACAAAAAAATTATGTACACGATCTATGCGATGTCCACAACACACAGAAGATCAAAGGAAAGAAATGAGAGCAAATTTAGAATCTGGAAACAACATACAACCTAGTCAAGATAATCTTCATGTTGATGTAGATACTTATGAAGAAGGAGATGGACAAAACTTAAGAGAAGCATTAGCGCGTTGGGATCGCGAAGAATCAAGTCATTCGAGTCCAGCAGATTCTACATCTACTACATCGACATCTTCAATAAGTAGAAAACGAGAAACAAAATCGAAAGGCAAAGGCAAAGGTTCCAAACGTGATCGTGGATCGCCTATTTCACAAGGAGATTAAAATAGTTTGCTTAATTTATTTTTTAATTCTAAGAATTTTCTAACAAGAAAATTTATGTAATAATAATGTTCCTATGCATTGTATAAAGCTTCAAGAATATATTATCCCAAACAAAATATAAATTAAAAAAAAAACCTTTTTAATTTTGTTTTATGCTCAATAGATTTCAAAATACTTGTAATTTAAATATGCATAAAAATTATTGTACATATATTATTATACAGTATATAACCAATGAGTGTTTCATTGCTTTAATGTTGAGAGGCGCTGCATTCTGCAAATTCGGAACGTTAATTCATTTATATGTATGATTCATGGTTATATACATAGTTATATATATATGCCGCCATTTTCTATTAAATATTATTTGACGCGAAGTTATCGTATGTGTAAGATTAAAATAATAAATAATTTTAAATTATATTATTAAATAAAGATGTTAAATGTACAAATAAGTACTGCTTCTGGGGTGAAACAAATTCTTACTGTCGAAACTCCATTTAAAATTCAAGAATTATATGATTACATTGAAGGATTAACGGTATGCGATCATTTAACCTAATTATATTTAATATAATTTATTTAATAAAGAACAAATTCTTTAATGGTAATTTATATAAAACCTTATTGCAGGAAAACTTTTACATTATACATAATGGAAAACTCATTCATGAAAATGCCATTTGCTATAATGGTTATATTTCTATTGTACCACGATTATTTGGTGGAAAAGGAGGATTTGGTTCTATGCTACGAGCAATTGGTGCACAGATTGAAAAAACTACAAATCGTGAAGCTTGTAGAGATTTAAGTGGACGTAGACTTCGCGATATTAATGAAGAAAAAAGGTTAAAAGCTTGGATCGAAAAACAAGGAAAACGAGAAGAGGAAGCTGCAGAACGTAAAAAGAAAAAATTGGAAAGATTATGTGCTGAACCTAGACATGAATTTAAAGATCAAACTTACGAACGTGAAAGGTCAGTTCTTACAGAAAGAGTTGGAGATGCAGTTGAAGAAGGCTTTAAAGCTTCTACTTCTGGAATAAAAAGAAAATATGATGAAGAATTTAAACCAAATAAAAAGAAAATTTTATTAGATATAGATATTGATTCAGATGAATTAGATAGTTCTGATGAAAGTGATGAAGATGAAAAAATATCTATTGGAATAATTAAAAATGCAGAATTATTATCAAACGATAGTGGACATTCAAGTGATGAAAGTGGACAAATTACAAAAGATAAAAATGAAATAAAAACAGGACATTTAGAAAATGTTGACAATGAAAGTGATAATAAAATTTTAAGTATAGCTGAAGATAAAAAAAATTTTTAAAGAAATTAAAATCTTAATCTTTTAAATTTTATTTTACCAGTAAATGCCTTGAAGTATTTATAATATATATATATAT